ATGTACAGTGGAGAAAGGACAGCCTCTTCAATAAGTGGTGCTGGGAAAACTGGACAGGTACATGTAAAAGTATGAGATTAGATCACTCCCTAACACCATACACAAAAATAAGCTCATAATGGATTAAAGACCTAAATGTAAGGCCAGAAACTATCAAACTCTTAGAGGAAAACATAGGCAGAACACTCTATGACATAAATCACAGCAAGATCCTTTTTGACCTACCTCCTAGAGAAATGGAAATAAAAACAAAAATAAACAAATGGGACCTAATGAAACTTCAAAGCTTTTGCACAGCAAAGGAAACCATAAACAAGACCAAAAGACAACCCTCAGAATGGGAGAAAATATTTGCAAATGAAGCAACTGACAAAGGATTAATCTCCAAAATTTATAAGCAGCTCATGCAGCTCAATAACAAAAAAACAAACAACCCAATCCAAAAGGGCAGAAGACCTAAATAAAATTTGAACTATTTTTCTTTTTCTTCTTTTTTAAAATTTATTTATTTATTTATTGCTGCTTTGGGTCTTCATTGCTGGGTGCGGTCTTTCCCTAGTTGCGGCGAGCGGGGGCTACTCTTCATTGTGGTGCACAGGCTTCTCATTGCAGTGGCCTCTCTTGTTGTGGAGCATGGGATCTAAGACACGCGGGCTTCAGTAGTTGTTGCCCACAGGCTCAGTAGTTGTCGCCCGTGGGCTCTAGAGCTCCGGCTCAGTAGTTGTGGCACACAGGCTTAGTTGCTCCGCGGTATGTGGGATCTTCCTTGACCAGGGATCAAACCCACGTCCCCTGCATTGGCAGGCGGATTCTTAACCACTGTGCCACCAGGGGAGTCCCTATATTTTATTTTTCTGTAATTCTTTTTTGTTAGAATGTATTAGTGTTTCCTTCAGAACTGTGTTTGTCCATCACTTGGTCAACCTTCTTGGCCTCTCCTCAGAACAGTGTGTAAAGAGCTAGATAGTAAATATTTTAGTCTGCGTGGGCCACAGACCAAACGGTCTCTGTTGCAATGATTCAACTGTGTAGTTAGAGCACATGACAACATGTAAACAAACGGGCATAGCTGTGTTGCAATAAAACTTTATTTATGGACACTGAAATTTGAATTTCATATAATACCCATGTGGCATGATGACTTCTTCTTTTGATATTTTTCTACCATTTAAAAAATGTAAAACCACTCTTAGCTCACTGATTATTCAAATACAGGAGGTAAGCTGGATTTGGCTCCCAGACTGAAGTTTGCTGACTCTGCCGTAGACTGGGGGAATCTGGACACTGGCTCCAAACTTGTCAGGAAACAGCAGTGGGACCTTAGACCCTGCTCTATCATCTGTACAATGAGAGGGGAGGCTGAGGGAACCTCGAGGGCTTCGTCCTATTCTAAGGTTCTATGGTTCTGATTAAGGGTCGTAAGAGGTGAACATTTGTGTACTACCACTTGCCAGACACTATACACACAGTGTCTTTCTTTGAGGAGCCCTTATGATCCCCACTGTACTGATGAGGAGACAAGGATCAAAGGGGCCCGGCAGCCTTCTGCTTAAGATCAAATTATTTGAAAGTGGAGAAGCTAGAATTCAAATTCACTGCTGTCTGCCCTCCTCACTAAAACTCAGTGTCCTTTGTATCTTTTACTTTCTCTCAAAAAGAAACTTTTTATTGTTGTAAAATATATACAGCATGAATTTGCCATTTTAACCATTTTTAAGTGTACAATTCAGTGGCGTTAATTACATGCATCATTATGCAACAATCACCACCGTCTATTTCCAAAACCTTTTATCACCCCAAATGGAAACTCTGTACTAATTAAGAAACAACTCCCCATTTTCCTTTCCCCCAGCCTCTGGTAACTATGAATCTATTTTCCATTAGATTTTATTTAATTAAGGAAATTTTAGTTAAATTTCTTGTCATCCTACTTGGTCTCCGATCAGTGTCTATGAAACTGCATACCCCAGACATCTTCAGCACCATCTCTCAATCTTCCCCTCTTTGGTTAGAAGCAAGAGCAGACTTTAAGGCTGATGCTGTGTCTTCCAGGTTCACACCCTTTTCTCTCTACTTATTTACCTTTTACAGTATAGTATTCTCAACATAAGTATAAACTTATTGAATTCACAAATATAATAACAAAATATGATTTTGTCCCAATTCTCTAGAATTAGGACAAATTCTAGAGTAATTTCCTCTATTCCACGTGGACTCTGTTTCCACATCAGTGAGTCAAAAGTCAGGATATAGACATATTAGCTGGCATGCTATCAGCATTCAACAAAAGCTGATTGTATAATTGGAGGATGGTTGAACAGGTGGATGAAAATCAGAGTTCTCGCTGAGACAGGTGTCTTAGACCAGAAAAGATTGTGGAAAAGCCCAAAGAAGGGTCATCTCCAACTAGGACTGATTGATTCAACAAATGTCTGTTGACATTTGACTATCTATCAGCCCTACTGAGAACTAAACGCTGCACTGCCAGTAGTTTTCTAGATGCTGTGGAGACAGTAGTGACGAATCAGATGAAAACTTCTGCCCTCATAGGGAGAAGGAAAATAAGCAAATTAAGTTAAATATATATGTATTTATATATACATATATATAACACAATATATATAACATACATAACATATATAGTGTATTTATTTGAAATATAGTACAAGTATATTATATGTGTATATGATAGATGTACATTGTATACACAAATGCATACATGTGCATTGTAAGGATTATACATGTATTATACATGAATGCAGGCAAAGCGTATGTATGTATGGATGGAAGGATGGATGCATTGATCCAGATCGTGATAAGTGCCAAGGAGAAAAGTAAAATGGAGATAGGGTTGAAGTTTTATATCAAGTGGGCAGGGAAGGCCTCATGAGATGACTTGAGTAAAGACCTGAGGGAGTGGGGGACTCAGCCGTGCAGGAATCTGCACGTTACATACAGCAGGAGCAGCACAACCGAGCTAGGGGTGTGTCTGGCTTTAGCCAATGTGATGAGCACAGAGGCAGAGGAAGATGAAGCCAGAGAGGAGAGGCAGAGGACAGATAGTGTAGACCTTGTTGGTTTTAGCAAGGGCTTTGGCTTTTACTGGAGACAGCCATCTCTTTTCAAGGTCCTCACTGACTTTCCTTTACTTACTTTCAGTTAAATTACACAGCTTATGTTCTGGCAGAATCACTGTGGCCACACTGGAAATGAACCTGCTGAGGGCCAAAAGCAGACCCAGAGGCATCAGGTAGGAGGCCGCTGTAGTGACCCAGGCGAGTTTGGACAGGGCTTGGACGAGAGTGGTTGTAACAGGTGAGGGGAAGAATACCAGACTCTGGATATATTTTTAAGGTTGAACCAACAGGATTCACTGGTAGACTGGACGTGAGTATGAGACAAAGAGGAGAGTCATAGATGATATCAAGATTTTTAATCTTAGAAACTGTGATAGTCCAGCATTATCGATAACACAAATACCTTCAATATCTTTGCTGAAGACCAAAGGTCTAGAGAGGGAGCTTTACTGTGTGGATTTGCTGATCCAGAAAGCACAGCCTGTCTAAGCCTTTAGCCCCAAATGCCTCTACAAAGGGTGGGGAAGGGAGGGGAGGGAGGACTTCTCTGGAGCTTCTACTACTCGAGAGCTGTGCAAACAGCTTTGGCTGTGGACCCACTGGACTGATATCATCCCTACACTGCCCAGATGTGCAACCCTGGATAATTAAGGTGCATTAGAAATTGTGCTGGATTTAGAGCCAAGGACTCCTGAGTTCTAACCCTGATTCCTCCGCTAGTCTGCTGCATGACTTTGGGATAATCCACACACCCTCTCTAAGTCTCATTTTCCTCAGTTGTATAGTAGTGTCAATAATACTACCCTGTCTGCTGCTTGGAGGTGCTAAGAAGCCCAAAGGAGGTAGTGAGTGTGCTTATCAGGTAAATATGTTATAATGCACCAAATAGCTTTTTGTTTATAGCCATTGCCCTCCAGATCCACTCTCTACCCTTCTTCACCCTGCTTGTGCCTGGGGAAATTAACCTGTATGGACACATTAACACACTCCCTTGACCTCTCATTGGATATATCCGGAGCTGGTAGGAAAAGGGAAACAAAAGGTGGAGAGTGAGCTTGGAATACCTATTCCCCCGATCCTTCCAGACGTCCCTCTACTGACAGTCACAGCTCCTGACCAGTGCTCCACTCTACACAGCTCTTTATCCCCTGGTTCTGGTAACTGCTCCCTCTCTTCCACTCTTCAGGCCTAAGAGTGATGAAGGTGGCCCACCCTTACTGGCCCTGGGGTATTGCACGGGGTATCCCTGTGGTTTCCCTACCCTCCTTTGTAAGTAGTGCCTTTTTATTAAGCTCTCATCTGTTACCAATTTGGCTCCACCATTTGTTTTCTGCCAAGATCTTGACTTACAGTCATCAAACTATTACTTCCTGTGTCTCCAGGATAGTCCCATGCTTTTGTCTACTGTTTGGGGATAAGAATAAACCCTCCCGGGCTTCCCTGGTGGCGCAGTGGTTGAGAGTCCGCCTGCCGATGCAGGGGACACGGGTTCGTGCCCCAGTCAGGGAGGATCCCACATGCCACGGAGTGGCTGGGCCCGTGAGCCATGGCCGCTGAGCCTGTGCGTCCGGAGCCTGTGCTCCACAACGCGAGGGGCCACAACAGTGAGAAGCCCACGTACCGCAAAAAAATAATAATAATAATAAAGAATAAACCCTCCGATTTGGCCATTTCCGTGATGGCTAGTCTAGGGAACAGAGACCCTGTATTTCAGTACATGAGGTTTAGAACAGAGTTCTTAAAACTTCCCTCAATAGAACAGTCCGAGGTTCACAATTTTGGGTGACTCCCTATAAGGGGGAATTGAAGACCACTCCTCCGCCTCCGTCCTACTTTGGAGTTTTGGCTGCTTCTTGGTAATTTATATAACTTGCTCCTAAGTGATCAACCAACTCTTCAGTATGGAAAGTGTTGTGTGGGTAGTTATATCATTAAGTTAGCCAGGATAGATGACCAGATAGGATTTTTGGTCAGTCTTGACCTAATCTTCCAGATACCAACCCATTTCTGTGAGGCATGGCCTGCATTGCAGATCTCCTTCTGGGCTCTGGGAATCCAGGGGTGTTCACATCCCCAGATGGCAGCAGCTCCTTCAGGCCTTTGATGGTTTGGGATTTTAGTGGTAGGCGTAGACCAATCTGCTCATTAAGGCAGAGCTCACAGATCCGGTTGCCCAGCATGTGCCAAAAGATGGCTTTCCCAGTCTTCCTGTTACTCATCAGGACACTGAGGAAATCGTGCAGGTCCTGCCATAGGTCCAGGAGTTGGACCTCCACTTTCAAATTTTGCTTCTTCAGGTGGTCCCAAAAGGGACTCCCTGCAAGGCATCAGCACACAAGGCCCAGTGGCTGTACCCCAAGGAGAGGTTTTGCTCCACGGCCTTCTTAATTGTCATGTGGGGGGAGTAATTGATGATGGGGGTGACAGTCCTCAGGTGGGTAAAGAATGATGTCTCAGAGAGGCCCTCCACGTGGAGGTGGCTCTTGGCTTTGTTCTTCACATTGGACTTCTTGGCACAGAGAATATCCTTTTCCCAGAAACTGATAATTCTCTCCTTTAAAGAGGTCTCTTTCGGGGAAGGCATTTGTATAACCAACTTGCCTTGAGGAAACAGCTCCTGGGGGAGCAAAGCGTTGATAGCTGGGCTGGTACTCACTTCCAGAGACCAAGAGCCATGGTCTGTCAACTGCCACATCTTCCTCTTGGCCTTCCCGCTCGAGTACCGCTTCTGGGGGTGGTGCCCCTTCTTGATGCTCATACTCAGAGGGAGCCCTCCTACGTGGGTATAGCAGATACTGTACAGGCGAGTCTCGTATTCCTGCATCAGAGCCTGGCACGATTCCTCCTTGGCCATGATCGTCTTAGCGTGGGTGTAAAAGTTTGGGAGCCAATAGCTCTGGAGTTTGAACAGAGCCACTTTTTGCTTGTGACTCAGGATTTCCCTCCTGGTGGTTGACTGGTTGGGATGCCAGACGGAAAGGTTCAGAAGGGCCTCTGGAAAGAAGGATAAAGGATGAAAATGATGTGGAATGGTGAGGTTTTTGAATTTTTCCAAATGTTTTTGTGTCCTGGGGTGTAGACAGGTCAGATATATAATGAACATGTTTTTAGGGTTTGTTCAACACACAGTGACCCCTTCTTCTGGTTACCTTCCTTCTTCCCCAGAGAAATAACCGTTCTGTGGGATTCCTCAAGTTACTTTTCAGACTACTGAAAGTTATTGTAAAGGAAAGCAAGAGGTACACAAAACCATGTTCAAGAACAGGAAACATGTACCTCTGAATGGGATTTCTCAAAGTTAGATCTGACTGAAGGAAAGAGTTTGGACTGGACAAATTGAAAAAATCCCAACTAGCCCTGATTTTAATGTCATCAATTCTCAGTTATCTACATGAATAAAGAGGAGTGTGACTAAGCCCAAACAGCGAATCTTCTGGAACACATTTGTATTTGGGTTAGGAACACCTTCTCAGTTAATAAATAAATACATTTGAATGAATCTGATGTTCTAGAGAAGGGGTTGGCAAACTTTTTTCTGTAAAGAGCCAGTAGTAAGTATTTTATGCTTTGTAACCCATATATAGCCTCTGTTGCACAGTCTTCTTCTTCTTTAAGCCTTTAAAAATACAAAAACACTCTTAGCTCCTAGGCCACATGTACTGCATTTGGCCTGTGGACTGTAGTTTGTTCTCAAGAATCCCAATTGAAAAATAAAACAAACCAACAACAAAAACATGCCATGCAGGCTTAGAAGTGCAGGAGCTATTCAATTACCCTGTCCCAATTCCCCTTCATTCTTGCCAGCCACCCTTCACTGACAAGTACTATCTCAGGAACAGGCACATACCAGCTTCAGGACAACTGGTCTCTCTCAAGCCCTTCCCTGTTTAGGGTTGGGGTTCCCACTGATATCCCTGATGGAGAGGGTAGCAGTCTGCAAGGCAAGAGACTGGGGACTATCAGACACTGGATTGATTTTTTTCTTATATCTCCCAGGGATTTCACTTCGGATATGCTTTATAATTCTCACTGATGTTCATGTTGCAGAGAGTCACCACCCGTGAGCTTTCCTGCAGATGGGTGGCCTTCAGCATGAAGAGGAGGGACAGGTAGTAGTCTCTCACTTCCATGTCCACCTCATCTATGCTCAGGATCTTCTCAGCAAGAATCCAGAAATCCACCAGCTCTTCACCTATGGGTCGGACAGGATAGGATAGGCACCGAGCTGCACCCCAATCTTGCCCCTCAGCGGCTGCATCTGCATGTGGCCTCTGATCCCCCCACCCCCAACCACCAGCTTGCTCTAGTGCCTCCAACATCACCTTCAGCCACTCCTTTGGCTTAAGGCGTCACCTCCAGAAACGTCCTAATGCAGGAGCTGATGGAAGGCACGGAAAAAAGGGACTTAATGCATACGAGTCTTTCATGAGTTTTTTTTGGTTGTTAGAAAAACTGTCAGTTTAGGGAAAACCACGAGACTCTGAGAATAAATCATTAGACATTTAGGTTTTGTCCAAAAAATAAAGATCAGGGGTAAAAGAACATTTCCTAGATCATGACTCAGAGCAGCCTGCAGAGGACACTGGAGCCAAAAGGTGCCAAAGACTACATTCCCTGTTTCACAGCTTTGCCAGGGCAGAAGTCTGAGTGACAAACTGTGAGACAGTCGGTCTAGTTCTTCCCTGCCTGATCCCTGGTGATCCAGAATTTCACCTTTAAACTAGGATTTGTTCCTCCATGAAATGTAATGATGATGAACAGGAATGTCAGCCAGTGCTCACTGCCAGCTTCCTAGACTCATCAACTACTGGACCCCATAGAACAGAAAGCAGGACATCTCAACACTTTCTGGCATAGGTGTGGCCTCAGAGTTCTTCTCAACACAGTCCTCCAAGTATCTACTACCCAACCACCACAGTCGACATGAGAGTTTAATCCCTTTTGCTAACCATGGACTAAAATATAGAGGAAAGAACTCACCAGCAGTTGCTTGCCCAAGTGGTAAAAATGTAAAAAGCAGAAATGTCTACCTGGCTTGATGCTGTTTGTCCTACTTACCTGCTTTATAGTTTCTTCCATAGTCACCCTCAGGAGCTCCTATCCCTCTCCCTCTCCTAATCCACACATCAAATTCAGCTGCCTCTTCCCCCATCCCAAACCATACACCATTCAAGAATCATACTCACCAAGTCATGGTGTATTTCTGGCCACAAGCTCCACTATGAATTTTCAAGAGTGTAAAATGGTGTCTGACAAAAGACCTGCAAAAGAAAGCTAAGAAACAGCCAAAGGGGTCTAGAGTTTCTCTTCATGAAAATGTCACAGTCCATCTGCAGCCACAGGCGAAGAGAGGTTCCATTGCGTTCCTATTTCAAGGGACATTAATTCTTAACTTTATTGCACTGAATCAACTTGCTTTTTTCAAAACAACCAAGAAAGATTAAACTGCAAGATTCACTTATCTTTTGGCTCCATCCTGCCCCGACCTGGGAGTTATCTTGCCCGTGTGCAAAGGCCAAAGCTCATGACATTAAAAGGTATTTATTTTGTGTATTGCATTATTCATTTCTACAGGACTTAGAAAGAGCAAAGGCTTAAAGCCTTTTCATAAAGAGAAATACCTTTGGATTTGCCTAAATTCTTTAACTGGAGAAAGTAGAGAGAACAGAGGATGTGAGGATTAAAGGTACAAATTACTTAGGGGGGCATTAAGAGTGTCCAAAATTGATAGAAAATTCTAGGCTACTGTCCTCTTTTGTCAAGGAGAAGGGTCTGTGACCTAGGCAGTTTTGGGACTAATGTGAAAGGGCTTGTATGTTTACAGGTAGCTATGCTTAGCAGTCTCACTGTAGGCATCAAAATATCTCAAGGTGCCCCCAAAGTACTTGTGATAAACCAGAGGGGCTAAAGTGAACTCTCAGCACAGCACGTCATTCTGACCTTCTCCCCGAGACCGGCAGCCCCAAACTTTTGTCAGTCTGCGGCCCCCTCCTTCTCTTCTCTTTGTCCTTGGCTGTATCGATGGAAGGTGATAGTGTTGCCTGCACTTCACAAATATCGGTCTATGAAGGAGACTCAATCCTTAGTGACCCCTCCCTGCTCTGCACTCAGTGTTGGACAAGACACGCCCTGCCTGGCTTGTGAAGTTACCTTTATGGGATGTGCAGTGGGACTGTGAAATCGTGAGATTTTGTGGGAGTAGCGCGTGGGAGCATTTTCACCATGTGACATTTGTGCCATTCAGGGCAGGAGGCTGATGTGGAAAACATGCTGGGCCTGGAGCCACAGGACGTGGTCAACTCTAGTACTGTCCCAGATTTGCCAAGTGATCTTAGGCAAGACATTTAACTTCTGAGACCCATCTGTAAGGAGGGAGTGATGTTGACCTGACAGGGTGATTATGGAAATTAAATAGTAGAAATTTGTAAATTGACAGCAACACTCAACATGAAATACCACTGTCTTCCTAAATAGACCACAGCCACCTAAATGGCCAGGACATTCTCAGGATTCTACTTCCCACATTACGTTCGCCATTTCTATAACATTATTGTGGGCTGCATAATTAAGTTGACAAACTGATTAGCTAAAATGCCTTAAGGTTACTTCTGAAACCTTTCATTAAGACAGTGGCAGATGCTAGAGTATGAGTGCGGATCACCCCCAAACACCTGCTCTTCGAGGCCTTTTCCTCCTTCCCTTTTTTACCATGTCGCTGGCACCACCATCCACCCAGGCACCCAAGCCTGCTACCCTGATCCCTCTCTTCTTGTTAGCACTTCTCTCTGACATTCAAAGTGATAGGTCCTGCATTTCGCTTTGTGAAAAATCTCTCCTATTTATCCATCCTCTTCATCATTTTGCCTTTAGACTCTCATCACCTCTCACCTAGACTCTTGAAACAATCTCCTGACTAGTTTCCCTGCCTCCACTGAGGCCCCCTGCCAGCTCTATCCATGGCCAGACTTCTGCAGAAATAATTTTCCTAGATGAAAGTCTGATCATGTCACTCCTTTACCTAAACCTCTGATGATTTTCTCCTAACCTCAGAATGATGTCCAAACTCCTAAGCTCGGCCTACCTACTCTCGGAGGCCTGGCTGTGCAGCCTCATCTCTTGCTATGTCTGCCTCTCACAACTTTTTCTTCAGCCTTAGAGTTTCCCCCAAGGTGCCATAGGACTGTATTCCATGGTGCCTTTTCTTACTCTGTCCTGTCCCTAAGGCCCCTGCTTCTCTTGATACTCAACCCCCGTCTTTTCCTCTTGCTTCTTTATCCACCCTTCCCTCCCCATCTTCGTCCCCAGACAATTGTCAATAACTAGTCTTCTTTCCAGGCTTGGCTTGTGTGACCTCTTCACTGGCACCTTTCTGACTCCTCCAGGTAGGAGTGGCCTCTTCCTCCAATGTACCCCACTGCCTCCCAGAGACTTCAATCATGTCACTCAAAACCCTTTGCACACTAACCTTAAATACTGGTCTCTCACATTAGACTGGAATTCCTTGAAGACACAGATGGTATCATTAATATCTGTGTCCCCAGGACTAAGCTCAGTGTCTAGCGCAAAGTGGCCACCCAATAGGTGTTTGTGGAATAATAGTGTTTTTTCCTAGTTTTGTGAAATTTCACCTTTTAACAGGCAGCATCCATGGAAAAAGGTGCACTGAGATGAGCAACTATTTATAAGACACCAGCATTCAGATGTAACCAAATATTTAAGCCAAAAAAGAAGCAAGATTAGTGTAGGTTTGGTTTTAAGAATATTTTGGTATTTGAGGTTTGTTTTAGTTGCATAGATTGAGAATATATATAAATTTGGTTTCAGTTAACAACTCAGCAATTGCTATCTGCCAAACACTGGGTGAAGGGAGTAGAGCAGAATGAATAATCCATGGTCCTTCTCCTGGAGGAATTCACAACTTCACAATCCAGTGGGGCAGATACACACATATAACACAAGAAAGTTGCAAAGTGCCAAGGGGCACAGAGGCAGGGAGAAATAAGTTCCTATTGGGAGGACCTAGGAACTCCTTAAGCAGAGCAGGATTTAACTAGAGATCTGAAAAATGGTTAAGAGTTTGGTGGGTGAAACTATGGAAACTAAGAACACAGCCAAGGAGAAGCGTAGAGGTGGGAGAATGCCAGGTGTGCTTTGCAGGGGTAGAGCGGCCATCACTGCAGCACTGGGTACCAGCAAAGGGTGTGATGAAAGATAACTGTGTACAGGCAAAGGTGATCGGGGAGCCTGGGGATTTAGGATTTCATTATATCAATAATTGGAACTCCTGGAGATTTTAGAGGATTTTCTACTTCATATTTATTTGCTCAAATTGAAATAGTTTTGATTTGGTAAGAAGTTTATTTTTTAAAAAATGCTGGAGAGGGTGTGGAGAAAAGGGAACCCTCTTGCACTGTTGGTGGCAATGTAAATTGATACAGCCATTATGAGGAACAGTATGGAGGTTCCTTAAGAAACTAAAAATAGAACTACCAGATGACCCAGCAATCCCACTACTGGGCATATACCCTGAGAAAACCATATTTCAAAAAGATTCAGGTACCACAATATTCACTGTAGCTCTATGTACAATACCCAGGGCATGGAAGCAACCTAAGTGTCCATCGACAGATGAATGGATAAAGAAGATGTGGCACATATATACAATGGAATATTACTCAGCCATAAAAAGGAATGAAATTTTGGGTCATTTGTAGAGACGTGGATGAATCTAGAGACTGTCATACAGAGTGAAGTAAGTCAGAAACAGAAAAACAAATATCATATATTAACGCATATATATGGAACCTAGAAAAATGGTACAGATGAACCTGTTTGCAGGGCAGAAATAGAGACACAGATGTAGAGAACAAACGTATAGACACCAAGGGGGTAAAGTGGCTGGGGGTGGTGGTGGTGGTGGGATGAATTGGGAGATTCGTACTGACATATATAGACTATTATGTATAAAATGGATAACTAATAAGAACCTGCTGTATAAAAAGTAAATAATATAAAAATTTTTTAAAAAGACACTCAGCTCAGTAAGATTCACTATTCAGCTGTAGATGAAACATTTGGATTTAAGTCTGAGAATGCTTACTAGGAGAGAAAGAGATGTGTTGAAAAAATCAGCAAAGGTTTCATCCTCTAGAAGAATTATAAGATTTGTGGAACCAATCATCTCTATATGGGGAGAAAAAAATCTCTCATAAGCAGGATTGCTTTGAGCATGGGAAAATGAAGCAATTGAATGGATCATTTCACAAGGGTAAATCTCAGCATGACGATGGCTTTTAGGGTCATCTAACTCAATATCTCCCCTCTCCAGGACCCTCGTCTGCAACATCGCATTGCTTAAACACTCCCAGCTGTGGGGAGCTCCCCGCCTCACAGGACTGCCCGTTCCATTTATGAAGAGAGAAAATAGTTTCGTAAGATCTTTCCTACCGTGAACTGCCTTCCTTTACCTTCTTTCCGTTTGTTGAAACTCTGCCCTCTGAAGCTTGATTGAATTCATCTAAGTCCTCTTTTAATGGACAGAGATCCCATATTTACAAAGTCATTACAACCTTCTGCCTACCTCCACCCCCTCTGGCTAGTCACTAAGCATTTCTTCAGTAATTCATCACATGGCCTCCTTTCTCTCTGGTTCCCTTCTCATTGCCTGAAGGGGCACCCACAACTCAAGCATTCCACATCCTTCTTAGGGAGGAGCATAAGACAACTATTACCCATGTTCTATGTTATATTAGCATGGCCGGAAATGGGGTTAGCTTTCACCATCTTTAATTTGTGCAGTCACTTTTCAGAAATCAAGTCAAATTTCAACTTGTCAGTTTGGGCCCAACATTAAAGCCCCCAAAATAGGCTTTTTTGAATATATCGGTAATGCAACATATTTATTATTTCTCTCAAGCTTGATCATTGTGCTTCCCAAGTTAATCTAAGGAAATAAATGTTGACTGCCTCAAAACCAAGCATAGATACCACAGGTGGATAAGGTGGCCTCTCTAGGTTCATTCTAATTCACTGCCCCTAATTTTAGTGTATAATGTCAACTGGTAAATAGTAAGTTAATTGTTCTATCAATGGCCCAGCATTTTTCCATCATACCTAAAGTGTATAATGAAAGACTTACGGGGCTTCCCCGGTGGCACAGTGGTTAAGAATCCACCTGCCAATGCAGGGGACGCTGGTTGAACCCTGATCCAGGAAGATCCCACATGCCACGGAGCAACTAAGCCTGTGAGTCACAACCACTGAGCCTGTGCTCTAGAGCCCGCGAGCCACAACTACTGAGCCCGTGTGCCGCAACTACTGACGGCCACCTGCCTAGAGCCCATGCTCCACAACAAGACAGGCCACTGTATTGAGAAGCCCGTGCACTGCAACAAAGAGTAGCCCCTGCTCACCGCAACTAGAGAAAGCCCGCGCACAGCAACGAAGACTGAACGCAGCCAAAAATAAATAAATAAAATTATTAAAAAAAACACTCATATAATGAGAAACTTAAATATTATACACTAGTCCTATCTGTCAGCTAGCTAAATGTCTGGTGAGAAAAGTACATGGCACTCCACCTGGGTGAAGTTGTAATAACATAAGAAAACTAAATAATCCCCTTCATTACTTTTCCTAATGACACTTTGGCGGTTATTGTCTTCTAATAATAGAAATAGAAATAGAAACCCAGACAATCAAACACGATTGTAACAGAACTGATGCCCGTTCTTGCCCTCTGATCCATAGATGTCTTTTTCTTTTGCTACCTAGTGTTGTAAATATTTATGTGTTTTTTTCTATCTTCCTCCTCCTCAGCCCTCTGCTCATCTTTTTATGATAATTCCCTGATTTAATTTATCTATTCCACATGGATAATTTCAAAATCTATGTTCTCAGTCCAGACTTCTTTCTTTGGCTCTAGTTTTAAATATCCAATGAGCTATGGGCTATGGACACCTGTCAAGCACTTTCATCTCAACGTTTTCAAAGCTGATCTGATAATTTTCCTTCCCAACCTTCTCCTTTTCCTGTTTTCTCAGTCTCAGTTACTGGAACCACCATCCAATTGTCTAAACCAGAAACTTGAAAATCATCTTTGATTCCTGTTGCTCTGTTTCACTCTCTCTCTCTCTCAATACTCCCCTATGCAGTGGAGGAGTATTCCTCAACTGTCTGCCTCAACAGACTGAGCTCCATGAGAGGTGGGATTTTTGTCTTTTCATCTTTCTTCCTCTAGACACTAAGAGTGTTTGCACAGTGTCTAAGTTCTGTAAATGTTGAATGAATTATTCTTTCAAGAAAAGATCTTCAATCGTTTGGACTTCTGTTCATTTGTTGTTATTCATAAATCCTGGCATGGATTTGCTGAATAAGATTATTGGGACGATCTGAGTGCAGGAAAGCAAGGCTTTGGATAAATTTCTCAATCGATTGTTTTCTATAGTCACACGTACTGTTGGTGACAAGGGGCTTGACTGAGAGCAGTGCTTGGCATTAACAATACAGTCTTCACAGGATATAGGAACAAGGCTCTCCATATCCTCCACTTCCCTGTCCTATTTCTCCATTCTTGTTTTTCCATTCTCACCTGTTTTGCCTTCAAACTTTATAATAATCTGAGCAGGCTTTCAACATTCGTTCCACACAATAGTGATACTGATGTGGTAACAAAGAAATTGTTGGATAACCCCAAACCTCATGCTAGCCTTCTCCCTGGAGGCGGTATGACACAAAAATGGGCCAATATGCATTTTAATTCTTCCCTCTTACTTATCCCGCCTAGTTGCCTTAGTTGTCTTATGAATGGGACTCTATCTGATCCTAAAAGATGTGGTGGCATAAGGTGGGTTAAAGGGAGAAAAGAGAAGAAAAACAACTGGTATGAATAACATAAAATCTACATGTGGTGGCCCTGAATGACTGACTCATTCCTGTCAACGACCACGAAGGTGAGTGGTTTGCCTTATTTGGGGGGCTCAAAGCCGCGGAGACATCCCTCTCAGAGACTCACCAGCATTGCTCATGTGGCCTTGCTCTTCCTGCCACTGTGATTGATTAGGAGCAGAATTAGCCCCCAGTCAACAGAACCCTGCTCCTTATGAATGCACAATGACACCTTCCCCTAGGGGTTCCAGATTCTATACCTCTGGTAGAGACCTCAGTCTGAAAATAAGTCTTTACGTTACCTAATCTTCTGGATTCCCTTAACCATACAGACTCTTCCCATACTTAGGGCTTTAGTCCATACTGTTTGGTGTGGTTCGACAGTTTCTTTAAAATTGTTGTCTAATTCTAGATCCTGAGTTTAAGTTCTGTCTTTTTAACTTGATTTTATGCTTGGAGGGAGTAGGAATCTGTTCATTCATTTCTCATGTGTCTTTTGGATCCAATATCCTGCTAGAAATTTAACAGGTACACAGTGAATGTTTAATGACTTGTCTCTCAGAGAAGCTGGAAAATTCAACCTAATATCCATGCTGTTTTCCACCCCTTCTCTTCCTTCCCAAATAGTTTCCTCTGGTTGGCTGTGGGTTACTATCCACTGGCTTTGAAAAAAGATTGAATAAACATTAGCTGAATGCCTTCCATGAGGAAGAATTAGATGAGGTGTTTATACGTGATTCTCATTCCATTCTCAGCCATGCAAAATAGGGATTATCATCACCTCCTTTTCAACGAAAGATAGTAAGTGCAACACTGAGATTGGACTCTGCCTATGTGATTCAAGAGCCCATCTTATTTCAAATGTGCCAGTAACTCAAACCTCCCTTTCACATGTAAAACATGTTTTAATGGGCTTAGAAATAAGTCTCTTGGACTTGCTCACAATGATGTGTTTTTCTGTATAATTTCTCCTGCCACTTCTTGTGCGTATCCTTATATGTTTAATTAGACTTTCTTTCCCACAGATGTTATAAAGGAAGACATAAACAATATCTATATGGAAAGGAGCTACTTAGAAAAAGGTACCCCACATATCTAAGAATTTTACCATAAGACTGAGACAAAGTCATTTAATATTTTCATCAAATCATAGCATACAAAAGAACTGCAGATTTTCTGTGACCAATTTTGACCAGAAATGTTCTAACCCTGATCAATCCCTCATTCGTCTAGACCAGTCACTCCAGAAAAATAGAGGCAAGCAAGAGGCAATATGGGAAAGAAGTTATAATTCTTTCATTTTAATTTTTCTCAGGATGGTATAATGATTTTCTATTGTAAACTGGGCCAGGCCTACTTCTGGGATCATGAGTAGCTCAAAGAAAATAGCAGAACACTTTTGATCCACATAGAAAGAGTTTTAGAGATGAAGAACAATAATAACTGAAGAGAAAGGAGGCAGAAGTAATTTCTAGCAAGGTCTAAAACATTTGTAGCAAGTTGGAAATTTGGAGCTCAGCATGAGTTTACTCACAGAGAACAGCTGGTTATAAGACAAGTGTTCAGAAGATTTTAATGTGGAAATTAACTTTTGATACTCATTTTTTATTGCCTTCAAATGGGTTTGCAGAGTAAGTTCTTGTTCACTTGAAGGAGAGGCAAATGATTTTGGGTAGTCCCGGGTTTGGGTCTGATTTGCCACATTTAGATCCCTCCTTACACTGTCCTAGGATCCCTGTAAATTAGCCCAAAGAGGATCCTGAACACTGAGTGGGCCAGGGGCAAGTGCATTTATTAGGGTTTTGTGTAGCTTTGTTTTGGTCACTCAGTCTCTGACCATCCTTCTTATTTGGGCTGAAAAATTGTGTGAGTCTTGGAGGGACTGTCTCCTGCCAGAGAGGCCGGACAGTCCCTCTCCTGTCCTGGCCGCAAGGACACGGGCACCTGTCCGAGACTCAGCAGTCAGATCCTCCATCCAGGGCTCTTCATCTTGAAGGGGTGACTCAAAGCAGTTATACTCCAATAAACAATAATAATTATAATAATTTTAAAAAGCAAGAGGAAAAAGCTCAGGGGCAATGAGAGATTATGCATGGTGGTGCTTATTACAGCAAAGGCTCATTGGTGATGGTGCCAGCAGTAGTGACACAGTGGAGGTGTCCACAAAGGCTGAAAGAAGATGCTGTAGTTGAAAATTACCTTTGATTGCAATGGGAGGTGGTGCTAACCACCAAAGTATATGTGGATATCATAATAGCAGCTATGGTGTATGGATATCAGAATGATCCAACACACAGATTCTTTGTGGTGGCAAATGATCATAGGGTCCCTTGGAAAAACTGTGTGGCAGGCTCAGTGAGATTCTACTTGAGAACATAAACTACATGGTGGCAGGAATTTTTTACCGTTTTTTCAAGTGATGCATCCCCAACATCTAGAGCAGTTTCTGTCACGTGGAAG